GATGAGGTCTTGAATGTCATCAAGCACTGCAGCCTCTTCGAATATGCTGGTCTGATCTTGTCTGATCCTCATCCAGCCAATGACCTATGCAGGGTTAAACAAACAAACAAAAAACCCACTGACTTGTCTGAGATCAGAGGAAAGGCTATGAGGGAACTGGAGGCAGAGAGAGAAGGACTGGGAGGAGATGGGATTATCAACACATATAAATATTCACCATGAGCTGACCACACAGACCAATATAGGAAAATGCTGATTCATACAAAGTTAAACAGGGTGAATTGTTAATTCATCAAATTAAATTTAACAAAATGTATTTGTATGCTTTGGTAAAGAGTAAGTTCTATTGCATCCGATATGTCTTCCCACTGCCTACAAATTGATTTGCATACAACATTTTCAGGAGTAGACCTGTTGCATAAATTCTGGCTACAAATGTATGTTTCAAAGCAAGTGAAAGTCCCCGATGTCTCAGTAGCAAAACAGGTCCCAGAAGTCCCAGGGGATTCTTTGGCCAGCTCCAACATAACTGTTCTCTTCCTAGTACTGGGTGCCACCTACATTCTATTGCTGATTAGAGGAAATATTTACAGGAATCAGAGAAGTTATACAGGTTACTGAAAGGCACAAAACTCAGATTTATGATTTTTGAGATTCAGGATTTATGATCAAAGATAAAGTATGAAAGAATACATACAGCAAGACTCTAGGTCCAAATTTCAACTGATCATCTTTGAAATGCAGATAATAGGATCAATAGATTCAGAAATATTATAAAAACTATTTAAAATATCAAATGCTTGGAACATAACAGATATTCAAGTGTTTTAAGTTTAGTATTTCTTATCCAGATAGGGGAGTATATTTGTTTTCTAAGGTTTCCATAAGCACTATAGTCAGGTTGGATTAAACAATACAAAATATATTTTCCTACAACTCAGGAGGCTACAAAAGTCCAGCATCGAGGTGTCGGAAGGGCTGGTTTCTTCCGAGGCCTCTTTCTGTGGCTTGCAGATGGTAAATATAACAATGAGTTATATTGACTCTCTGAATGAGTCAACAGGAATGAGGAAGCAGAAAGGGATACCTTTCTTTTATGAACTGAATTGTGTCTTCAAAATTCATACGTCAAAGCCTCAACCCCCAGTGTGACTATGTTCGGAGACAGGGTGTTAATCAAGGTAATAAGTGTGGGGTCCTAGTCCACTAGGACTGGTGTCCTTCTGAGAAGAGATTTGGGTACAGACCTGCATGCCCATAGAGACAAGACCATGGGAAGACACAGCGATCTGATGGCTGTCTACAAACCAAGGAGGAACCAGCCCCGCCAGAAATGGGAAAGAGACAATCATTGATCTCGGATTTTCAGCCAAAAATAAACCCCATTGTCGAATCCACCCAGTCTATGGTATTTTGTTATGACAGCCCTTGCCAAACTAATATATTTCCTTTCTAAAGAAATTGGTCCAAAAATAAAAAGGAAATCTAGATTTTTCACCTATTTGGTGACTTTAGGTTGTGTTCTCTACCATGTGTCAACAAGTTAAGAAGGAAAAAGTAAAAGTACTTCATATGTGCAGCCTCGCAACATGGCAAGACCCATCTCTACAAAAAATTTTAAAACTAGCCAGAGGTGGTGGCATGCACCTATCATCACAGCTATTCAGGAGGCTGAAGTGGAAGAATCAGGAGCCCAAGAGGTTGCAGCTGCAGTGAGCCATATTTGTGCCACTGCAATCCAGCCAGGGCAACAGAGCAAGACACTGTCACAAAAAAAAAAAAAAAATGTAGTCCTATGTGTAGGCAATATGTTTGTATGTGGCTGTGTATAGAGATGTGTTGAAAGCTAAAGGAGTTATTAAGATATCCAATATTCATCCTTTTTATATTTTCCAACAAATATTCATTGGGGCAATTAGCCATGTGCTAGGCACCATGCTTATAATGTATTGTCTACTTTAATCTTATTCTTTTCCTTATAATCCTACCGATGTTAGGAATTCATAGACCCATTTATGCCCTAGAAAAAGAGAGGTTGCAAGATGGCTGATCACTAACAGCTCGGGATTGTAGCTCCCAGTGAAAGCTCGGAGAACGAGAGGATGCCACACTTTCAGACGAATTTTCGTCTCTCACGGACCAGCAGATTTCCAGTGGAGGAGCCCCACGGGTGGCCAGCGCGACTCTTGTGGCCAGCGCAGCAGTTTTGCTGGCGCCTGGGTGCGGCAGCTCTTCATGCAGAGTAAACGGTACTGGTTCCCTTACTGACCGGTGTTTGGAGCTCCGGGAAGGCAGAGCTGCTTGTTGCAGACTCAAGAAGGAAGCCAGACCAGAGATTCCCGGGCAGAAGAGCACCATCAGTCTTATCGCTGCTATTTTGGCCGGCGCAGTGGGTTGCTCGGATCCCAGCACTGGGAATCAATAAATTAGACGTTGACTCAGAAACCTAATTAGAAAGACAGTAATTGTAAAGACGATAGATGGATAAATTTATAACAAAGGGAAAAACCCAGCCTAAGAAGGCTGAGCATACCCAAAATCAGAACCCCTCTCCCTCTACAGGGGATTACAGTTCCTCATCAGCAACGGAACAAGCCCTGATGGAAAAGGACTGTGTTCCATTATCTGAAGTAGGTTTCAGAAGGTGGATGATAAGAAACTTCTGGGAGTTAAAAGAACTTGTTCTAACCCAATGTAAAGAAACTAAGAACTTTGAAAAAAGGTTTGATGAAATGCTGAAAAGAATAGACAATATAGAGAGGAATATAAACGAACTAACAGAGTTGAAAAATACAACACAAGAACTTAGTGAAATATGCACAAGTTGGAATAGCCAAATTGATCAAGCAGAAGAAAGGATATCAGAGGTCGAAGACCAACTTAGTGAAATGAAACGACAAGACGAATAGAGAAAAAAGGATAAAAAGAAATGAGCAAAGTCTCCAAGAAATATGGGACTATGTGAAAAGACCTAATCTATGTTTGATTGGTGTACCTGAATGTGATGGAGAGAATGAATCCAAGCTGGAAAATACTCTTCAGGATACTATCCAGGAAAATTTTCCCAATCTAGCAAAGCAGGACACTATTCAACCCCAGGTAATACAGAGAACACCACAAAGATATTCCTCAAGAAGAGCAACCCCAAGGCACATAATCATTAGATTCACCAGGATCGAAATGAAGGAGAAAATACTAAGGGCAGCTAGAGAGAAAGGTCAGGTTACCCACAAAGGGAAGCCTATTAGACTTACAGCAGATCTCTCAGCGGAAACCCTACAAACCAGAAGAGAGTGGGGGCCAATATTCAACATACTTAAAGAACAGAACTTTCAGCCCAGAATTTCATATCCTGCCAAACTAAGCTTCACAATTGAAGGAAAAATAAAATCTTTTATGAACAAGCAAGTACTCAGAGATTTTATTACCACCAGGACTGCTTCACAAGAACTTCTGAAAGAAGCATTATACATAGAAAGCAACAACCAGTATGAGCCTTTCTAAAAATGTACCAAAAAGTAAAGAGCATCAACATAAAGAAGAATTTACATCAACAAATGGATAAAATAGCCAGTTAACATCAAATGGCATTAACCCTAAATTTAAATCGACTAAATCACCTTCAATCCACCTTCTGAAGCCTAATTCTGTTCATGGAACACACTCGTTCTCCATCAGGCCTTGTTCCATTGTTGATGAGGAACTATGACCCCCTGTAGAGGGAGAGACATTCTTATTTTGGGTATTCTCAGCCTTTTCACACTAGTTTCTTTCCATCATTGTAAATTTATCCACCTGTCATCTTTGTAATTACCAACTTTCAAATTAGGTCTCTGAGTGGATGTCCAACTTGTTGATTCCCAGCGCTGCAATCTGAGCAACCCACTGCGCCGGCTAAAACAGCGGCGTTAAGATTCATGGTGCTTTTCTTCCCGGGAATCTCTGGTCTGGCTTCCTTCTTGAGTCCCTTTTTCAATCAGCTAAATAGGTGACTCTGCCTTCCCGGAGCTCAAACGTTGACCAGAAGGGGACCCAGTCCCGTTTACTCTGCACCAAGAACTGCCATGCCAGGGTGCTGGCAATACCACCACACCAGCCACAAGAGTTGCGCTGGTGACCCGTGGGGCTGTATCAAAAGATACAGCCAAAATCTAACGGTATATCCCAAGATACACAAAGACTCAAAACAAAGGGTTGGAGAAAAATTTACCAACAAATGGAGAGCAAAAATAAATAAATAAACAAAAAGCAGGAGTTGCAATTCTCACATTGGATAAAATAGATTTCAAAGCAACAAAGATACAGTGGTAAAAGGATCAATGCAACAATAAGAGATCTTAACACCCAGATACATAAGACCCATAACGAGATTTAGACTCAACAAGACAGAAAATTAATAAGGATATCCAGGACTTGAACTCAGATCCAGAACAAGTAAACTCAATAAATATTTATAGAGCTCTCCATTTTAAATACACAAAATATACATTGTCCACTTTAAATACACAAAATATTGATCAGCCATTAATACCCATTTTTAGAATAAAGCAATATTCCTGTTCTCTCTTCCTCTTTTTCTTCCTCTCCTCTCCTTTTTTTCTAAAAAAATTAAAAATAAAAGAAATAAATAAATAAATATATATATATATATATATATATAAACTGAGACCCTATTTAGTGCCCAATACATGATTAGAGCATGCAGGAATAAATCTGTAAGAGGAGTTGCCCTTCTGAAGGGAGGGGAACCACTTACAATAGACCCTCAGTGCAATCTTTTAAGAAATATAGATGGCAAGCACAAATCAAATTCTGGTGCATTAACTTGTATTACAGCAAAATTCTCAGTTTAGCACCAAGATTTTCAGGCAAACATTATAAAAAAAAAAATGTGGAGATGAACATTAGACTATTACTCTCCTATGAGCTTGAGTCACACTGAGCACAGGGGGGTAAATAAAAAAAGAAAAAAGAAAAGACTCACACTTTATGTGACTTACCCACAGTAAGGGAACTGATATGGGACAGAGCAGGGCTTTCAACACAGGCCTCTCGGGCTTCAAAAACTGTCCACACACCTTGTCTTTGTAACATAAAAAGAAGAATTGCAAGGCCGGGCGCGGTGGCTCAAGCCTGTAATCCCAGCACTTTGGGAGGCCGAGACGGGTGGATCACGAGTTCGAGAGATCGAGACCATCCTGATCAACATGGTGAAACCCCGTCTCTACTAAAAATACACAAAATTAGCTGGGCATGGTGGCACGTGCCTGTAATCCTAGCTACTCAGGAGGCTGAGGGAGGAGAATTGCCTGAACCCAGGAGGCGGAGATTACGGTGAGCCCAGATCGCGCCATTGCACTCCAGCCTGGGTAACAAGAGCGAAACTCCATCTCAAAAAAAAAAAAAAGAAGAATTGCAAACGTTTCACGCCACAATATACACAGATCTGTTCCAAGCATATGTCAACTCATGTAGGGCTCTGTGCCTAGCCATTTGAGGTAAGTAATATTATTATTTATTATCCCATTTTACAGATCAAAAAATGTAACTACAGAAGGGTCGAGGAACTCAGCCTGGATCCCACACTTCATCTTACTAAATGAACAAACAGCACGTGGCAGAGCTGATCTCTACACCCAGCTTGGGTACAGCATGATCATCACCTGCATGTGTTTGGCCTCCAAATGAGGGAAATGAACCCAACGGCCCCTTGCACACTTTCTATCCCTGGGATTTTATTACTCTGGCTTCAACTCATCAGCAAAACAGACAAGACTAAATGTTACAATTTTTTTAACCACAGAGACTTTTCTTTTGGAGGGGAGGGAAATTAACCCTCCTTTAGCACAAAATTTGACCTCAATTAACCACACATTTTTGTTCTGCATTTTTACAGAGATCATTGTTGTAGCCAAGAAACCCACCAACAGCTAAGCACATTCAGCCACAGAAACTCCTACAGTAACCATGGGTCTTGTGAGCCAGGCCTCATCTTGGCTGTGTCCGTTTCCCTCTGCACTGAGTGAGGGGTCCTGAAACACAAAGGCAGAGGCCGCCTGGTTCCATCCTTTGATTACATCATCCTGATGGAATGTGGACATGATCGTGGGGACTTTCTACTTAAGCCTTGTTTTATTTAAGTTTCTAACATTCTTGGAGACTTAAATCTCATCTACAGTTGCTTGGAATCCAGGCTTCAGTTGGATTATTGAAGGGATGCAGGAAACATATCCTCCTAAAAGCTGAACTCAGTGAATGGTTAAGCCACAGCCATCCTGCCCCAAGGCTCAAAGCAAATCTTTCAGCTCATTACATTTTAAAGAATGCTAGCAGTCAGCAACCTTTAGATTTATGCAACACTAAGTTATATACAGTAAAAGCATGTGCTAGTTACATAACACGTTCACGTGAATGGTTAAAATGGGACAGGTAAATCAGATGTAGAAAACCAGGACAAAAAGGCTGCCAGCAGCTTTAGAATATATTGTTTAAATTCATAGCAAGGAGATAATTTTCTTTCCTGGTCTCTCCAACGATGACATTTATCGAGTGCTCACAATATGCCAGATACTTCTGCAACACGGATCAGGAGGAGCAAAGGCTTTGGAGTGAGGTTACAGTGTACTTCATGTGTGACACATGGCAAGTTTCTCCACCCCAATTTACCCACCCACAAATGGAGCTAGCCATGCCTACCTTGTAGAGTCAATGTGAGAATTAAATGAATCATGTTGCCAAGTGTCTGCCATAAAATACATGCTCAATAAACCCAGTTTCCTAGTCTGCTGCCCTTAGCTGATTTTGTCTAATACCCCTGCAAGCCTGGGAATGTAGTATTATTATAATCCCCATTTACCAGGTGAGGAAACTGGAGGACTCTGCCAGGGTGAAGTTGCCATCATGGCGCAGAGGGGCTTTAATACATAACTCATCAGAGGATATCTCAATTTTGCAACTCACAGGTTATCCCATCTGCAGTTCGTGCAGGTCTTTCAGCTTCTCTGCTTTTCCGCTGGCTGCCTGCCATTTGGCACTTTCCCTGCTAATTAGCACCTCGACCACAGTACAGCAGGGGAAATCCAAAAGGGTGAGCTTTGCTTAGTAGCCGAATCATGTGGTTTAAGAGCTTTAAGGGAGAGATTTTTCTTAAGTTTGGTAGAGAAAGAGATGGCGTCTAAGCAGCGACACAAATATTTTTAATTATATTTGGAATTCAGTTCTCCATTACTGTGGCCTCCCACTAATAGGTAATTGAGAATGGATCGTTATATTTAAGAAGCTGTCTGATCTTCAAGGTGATTAAAGTTTATTTATATGCTGAGACTTTAGGTGAGAATGTTTCTCAAAAATCATATCAGAATTTATATTCATCTTCGCTATTACCACCAAACTACACTACTCTCTATTTATGATGTGAGATTCACATGTCAAAGTTCTAGCGCCCAATGTGACTATATTTGAAGGCAGGGCCTTTACAGCATTAATTAAGGTTCTATGTATAGGGTCCTAGTCCAATAGGGCTGGTGTCCTTCTAAGATGAGATTTGGCTAGAGACATGCATGCCCCTGAGACAAGACCATGTGAAGACACAGCAATAAGATGACCATCTACAAACCAAGGAGGCAGGTCTCAGGAGAAACCCGCCCTGCTGGCACCTTCGTCTTGGACTTTCAGCCACCTTCCTGTAAGAAAATTAACTTCTGTTCTTGCAGCCACCCAGTCTATGGTATTTTGTTATGGCAGCCCTAGAAAATTAATATACTTCCTTTCTAAGGAAATTAGTCAAAAAAAAAAAGGAAACCTCTATAGACCTTAGTTTTCTAACCTGTAAAATCAGGAAAATATTAGTTCCTCATTCATAAGGATATTGTGAAGACAAAAGAAATCATAATCTAGTATTTAGAATAGCACCAGAAATACTCAGAAGCACTGTAAAAGTATTTTATTATTATTGTCAATATCATCACCTCTAATAGTATTACCATCATGTCTATCACCACCAAGAAACCTAGATTGTAACATGCAAAAGAAAGAGAGCATTCTGGGACAATGGACGGGAAATGATATGGACAGAATCATTTACAACTATTGCCCCAGATCCATCCCTTCTCAGTCCAGGTCCCAGGTACTTGGCTTCCACTCTGACCCTATAGGACAATGGCAGGTTACTTACTACAAATCCACAACAGGCTTGACTAGGCCTCAACTAGGGCCAGGCCAACTGCCATCCCCAGGGAGTTTGCTCTAGAAGAATTTATCTATCAAACACGAGTAAGGCCCATCTTATGAGCCCTCATTTCCTGTTCTAAGAATTACATCATCCTGGGATGATTGAAGACTGAAACATTTGCTCAATGGCAAACCCCTTCCCTACCCACCAGCCTACGGTCTCATCCTAAAGCACCTAAAGGATAATCCCAAAGCATTCTGACCTGGATGTTTTTCTCAAAGTCTCTGCTATTCAGTCTTATCATGGACATCATATTAAATACAGTTTCCAAGTTTTATGTAATCAAAAGATAGCACTTTAATAATGAAAAGTCAATGATGGTTATGAGTGGTGTTAATACTGCCTTTAAGATTCTGCAGGATTGGCTGGGCATGGTGGCTCACGCCTGTAATCCCAGCACTTTGGGAGGCCGAGGTGGGCAGACCAAGATCTCGATCTTGGTCAAGAGATCGAGACCATCCTGGCCAACATGGTGAAACCCCGTCTCTACTAAAACTACAAAAATTAGCCGGGCGTAGTGGCAGACACCTATAATCCCAGCTACTCGGGAGGTTGGGGTGGAAGAATCATTTGAACCCAGGAGGCGGAGGTTGCAGTGAGCCAAGATTGCACCACTGCACTCCAGCCTGGCAACAGAGCAAGACTCCATCTCAAAAAAAAAAAGAAAACGATTCTGCAGGATTTTGTGTGATACCACAGAAATCACACAGACTTGTATTCCAGAAATTATAAATCTGGTGGTGTTTATGTAACTCTGCACAAAACTGCAGTGGGATATTCCAGCCTTTTTGAGATAGAGTCTTGCTCTGTTACCTAGGCTGGAGTGCAGTGGCCTGATCTTGGCTCACTGCAACCTTTGCCTCCCAGGCTCAAAGCAATTCTCCCGCCTTAGCCTCCCAAGTAGCTGAGATTACAGGCATACACTATCATGCCTGGCTAATTTTTTTCATATTTTTAATAGAGATGAGGATTCACCATGTTTGCTAAGCTGGTCTCAAACTCCTGACCTCAAATGATCCTCCCACCTCAGTCTCCCAAAGTGTTGGGATTATAAGTGTGAGCCACCACACCCAGCCCATTTCAACTCTTTCTAAGAAATAGTTGTTAGAAATCTGTTTCTTCTGAAATGTAAAAACAACAGCAATTTGCTATTTTTATCAATTCCATCTTTTCTGGGCAAATCTTATCAGAGTCAATAATTTGAACTCGGTAAAAATTAGAGGCTTCTTTTATATTCAAATTCTACATGCTCAAAATCCTATCCTTCAGCAAAAAGTGTTTTTAAAATAGAAAAGAACTTGTTGATTTGGAGCACAGGAATATCACTGAAACCCTTAAATTCAAAATAACTTATGCTTCTCCAAGTTCCAGTTATTTTTCAAAATAAAGATATCTTCTTCTAAATTATTTCCACCTAACTTTGAAACATGCCTGCTCAATTTCTTAAAGAACATATTTTATGTGTTTCTGGGTATTGAAAAATGCCAGAAACCCAGTCCAAGGATTAAGAAGGGTTCATTGATCTGGCTTGTGAGAAAAAATAAATAATGATCTTTTCTACCTTCAGCAAACAGAAAACTCTCCAAAATTCCTCAGGCATCAGCTTCATAGCCATCGAAACTGTCTGATTCAGTTATTTCTGGAGTGCAACTTACATGCGTGAGCAAGGAATTGCATTTATCTTAGTGAATATACACACTCATGTATTATTCTACTGAATCCCTGGCTTACCTGATAATACAGGAGATGTTCCTGAATGAAACAAAAAACCTGGTATGTGAGAGTGACAAGGGCCGGTGAGCAGTTTTATTTCGTGATACTATTTGAAAAACTCAGAGAGGTGAGGAG